TCACTTGCCCTCTGTGACTGCCTCTAGCTTTGCTTATACTTGTGAACTACTGCTTTGCCTGCTTGTTGTTTTGATTGTACCCCACTTTGACTATGGGGGTGTGTCAGAATGTGATGTTTGTGTAGCCTGCAGTGGGGTACTCTATAGCGAGTACAGCCCGAATTAGGGTTTGCTATATGTACTGAACTGCATGCTAGTGAAATCCCCTCTTTTCTGTTTCTTGATTCTGCCTAGCATTTCAACAGAGTGGTCCACTGCGAGCGAACCGTACAGTCAGCAGTGGCAGCAGGAGCAGTAGAAACACCGGACGTGTGATCGAAAAGGGATACCCCATCCCTAGAATCACACTGAAGAAAGAGCTGTAGGTCGTCAACCCACACGTCAAAGTCAACTGCACGTCCCTCAGCGTCAAAGGTGAGAACGGTAGGACTAGCCATAGCAGCAGTAGGAGCAGTAGCAAGAGTAGCAGCAGTAGAAGCAGAGGCAGTAAGGCAGTGCAGGGCAGTGCGGCTCGGTAGGGCAGTGCGGCTCAGTAGGGCAGTGCGGCTCGGTGGGGCGGCGCGGCTCGGCTGAGCGGCGCGGCTCGGCTGGGCGGCGCGGCTCGGCTGGGCGGCGCGGCACGGCTGGGCGGTGCGGCTCGGCTGGGCGGCGCGGCTCGGCTTACCAGAGACGGGTGCAGGGGCGGGCCGTGAATGCAAGGGCCGCGCCTGCAGGGGCCGGCAGGGGCGCGTCAGCAAGGGCCGGCAGGGGCGCGCCAGTAGGGGCACGTCAGCAGGGGCCGGCAGAGGCGCGTCAGCAGGGACCGGCAGGGGCGCGCCAGCAGGGGCCGGCAGGGGCTACGGCAGCTGCTGAAGGGGCCGCGAACGGCCGCAAAGGGGGCCGCGAAGGGCCGCAAGAGGGGCCGCGAAGGGCCGCGAAGGGGGGGCCGCGAAGGGCCGCGAAGGGCCGCGAAGGGGCCGCAAGGGGCCGCGAAGGGCCGCGAAGGGCCGCAAAGGGCCGCGAAGGGGCTGCGAAGGGCCGCGACGGGCCGCGAAGGGCCGCAAAGGGGGCCGCGAAGGGCCGCGACGGGCCGCGAAGGGCCGCAAAGGGAACTCGAAGGGCCGCAAAGGGGGCCGTGAGGGGCGCGACGAGGAGGGCCCTAAGGGCGGGCCGCTAAGGGCAGAGTGCGCGGGGCGCAGCTAAGACAAGCGCGAAGCGCGCTTCGGACAGGTAAGGAAAAATTCGTAGTGGTGGGCCCTTAAAAAAAAAAAAAAACGGTCCCACTAGGGAACCCGTGTCAGAAACAAGAAGTGATTGAACTATGAAAGATTGGAGTACAAGTATGAACCCTAGAGTTGTGTACCCCTTAAAGGCTAACCCACTATAGCCTACACAACAATAACATATAGATAATGTTTGACACACCCCCATAGGCAAAGTGGGGGAGAGCAAGGGGTCACAAGACCAGTCAAGAAAGGCAAAGCAAGCTCAGGGTGGATCACAACGTCACCACACAATCTGAGCACAAGCAAAGGGCCACAGGGCCAGTTCAAATGCAGAGGCATATATACAACACAAACAGCAAGGTGATTTCAACCTAACAAAACAAACAAGCAGGTATATATATATAGATCACAGTACAGACAAAGCCTACAGTAAGTGAGGAACAGTGGGCACAAGCCCCAGTACAGTGCAGAAGCGCTGATGATCACCAGGCTGAAGTGCCTTGGTGAATATATCAGCGGTGTTGACCCAAGTGGCCACGTAGCGCAGACAAAGCTGGCCGCGCTGCTGCAGCTCTCGAGCCAGGAAGTAACGGAGAGCGATGTGCTTCGTTCTGTGCTCCAGTCTGTGCTCCTGACACAAGGCAATGGCAGCCTTGTTGTCGACGTACAGCACTGGAGGAGAAATAGGCCGCTCTCCCAAGTCGGTCAGCAGGTAGGTCAGCCAGCGTAACTCCTGTGCAGCCATGGCTGTGGCGTAGATCTCAGCCTCACAACTGGAGCTAAGAACTGAAGACGAGCGAGTAGAACGCCAAGAAACTGAACCAGAGCCAAGGCTGAAGGTGTAACCCTGTGACGACCGCTGAGTAGCCTGGTCGTCAACCCAAGAAGCGTCTGAGTGCCCAGTGAGAACAACTGAGCGCCTCCCTCCAAGCACGAGCCCATGCCCGATGTACTGCACAAGTAGCGCAATACCCTCTTTGCAGCATCCCAGTGCACCTTTCGGTGCTTGCCAGGAGCCACATAGCGGGCCAGAAGGCCAAGAGGGTATGCTAGGTCAGGACGAGTGCAAGTCATCAGGTACATGAGGCAACCAACTAGCTCTGGGTAAGGACCACTCGGCTCTACGGACTCATCCGAAGGCAGAGCTGAGAGCGAGTGACCTATAGCCAGAGGAGTGGCCTGTGCTGAGGACCAGGTGAAGCCGAAGCGCTGAAGGACCTGCTGCACCATGTGTGACTGAGTCAGTGTGATGGTGCGGCGTGCTCTGTCCCGGGTGATCCGCAAGCCAAGATAGCTTGTCAGCTCACCCAGGTCTGTGCACGTGTGTCTCTTCTGCAGCTCCGACTTCACGTGGGCGAGAGCCTCAGTGTCAGCAGTGGCAAAGACCAAGTCGTCGACGTACACGAGGATGTAGAACGGCGGCAGTGAAGTGTCGGTGCGCAGGAACAGCGACGGGTCGGCAGTAGAAGACGAGAACCCAAGAGCCGCAAGTGTATTCCTCAGTGTGTCGTGCCACTCACGTGGAGCCTGGCGGAGACCGTAGACCGGCCGCCGGAGGCTCCACTGGGTACCAGGAGGAAACGACCCAGTGAAGCCAGGAGGGCGGCGCAGCCAGATCTCCTCGTGCAGGCTGCCCTGCAAGAAAGCTGTGATGAAGTCAAGAGAGTGAAGCTCGTAGTCACGCTGAGCGGCAACGTGCAGCAGCACCCGAAGAGTGGTCATCTTCGGGGTGGGGGAGAAGGTCTGAAAGAAGTCTACTCCCTCTCGCTGACTGAAGCCTCGAGCAACGTACCGAGCCTTGAAGACAGGCGGAGAACCTGGCGGCCGCTTCACCCTGAAAATCCACATGCCACTGACGATGTTCGCCCCAGGAGGGGGAACCTCGTCGACGTAAGTGCCAGTGGACTTCCAGGATGCCATCTCTGCATCCATAGCTGTCTGCCACTGAGAGGAGTACTCACCCGCGATCGCCTCAGCGTAAGAGCGTGGGGTCGGGATGTCTGGAGCATCCGGGTCTCCCTCAGGTGCAATCAGCATGGACACGAGATGAGGTACAGCGGCGGCAAAGCACTCAAACTCCTCCTGCCTGTCCTCAAGGACGTCCGTGCCAAGAGCACACTCACCCCCGACGGACGGAGGACAGACAGACTCAGACTCAGCAACAAGACCGGCAGCGTAGTCTAGTCTATAGTGAGCAGCAAAGTCGACAAGCTCAGTAACTAAGGCAGACGCAGCAGCTGACTCAAAGGAAGGGTCAGTGACAACTGTGGACAGGAGACGCGTGACAGTAGGACGAGCAGCACGAAGAGAGTCAGACTCTGGGTCAGCAAGGGCAGGAAGGGAGGACGCAGGAGGAGAAGGCAGAGGGACACGCCGTGGAGCAGTGGAAAGACGAAGCAGCATCTGGTGAGTGCCGGGGGACAGCAGGAGGACGCTGACGTGGGACACGACGACCAGGGCGAGCAGCACTAACAGATGACGCAGAACGAGACTCAGGCGACACAGGACGAGACTCAGGCTGACGACGCTCCGTAAGACCTCCTGTCGGACCAGCGTAGGGAGAAGGACCAGGAAGTGGTGAGGCGGGCTGTAACTGTGACTGCAACCGGATAGGCGAAGGACACTCTAAGGAGGGAGCAGGACAAGGAGGAGGCGACCGACCAAGAACCTGCTGAAGGAGCGGAACGAAGTACGGCCGCGGCCGTGACGTGCCCCCAGAACCAGCAGAGACAGCACCAGAACCCCCAGTCCCGCAGCACCAGTAGCACCTCCAGGAGTGTCAACTCCAGTACCTCCAGGAACACCAGCTCCAGCAGCACCACCAGTCCCAGGACCAGGAGCACCACTAGGAGCTCCAGCAGCTCCAGGACCTCCAGCAGCACCAGCAGCAGACTCCAGTACCTCCAGCAGCACCAGCAGCACCTCCAGTAGCCCCAGTACCTACAGCAGCACCAGTAAGCACCTCCAGCAGCTCCAGTACCTCCAGCAGCACCAGCAGCACCTCCAACAGCTCCAGGACCTCCAGTAGCACCAGAAGCACCTCCAGCAGCTCCAGTACCTCCAGCAGCACCGCAGCACCTCCAACAGCTCCAGGACCTCCAGCAGCACCAGTAGCACCTCCAACAGCTCCAGGACCTCCAGTAGCACCAGAAGCACCTCCAGGAGCAGCCGGGCCTCCAGCAGGTGGTAACTCAAAACTAGGAGCTCCACTCCGGAGGCTGCAGCGCCGAGCGTACCACTCACGTAGCCGCGGAGGGGAGGGAGGGCTCCCGGCCGCAACACAGTACTCGCAGCTCCAGTAGCCCCACGCCGGAGGCCGCAACGCTGAGAGTACCACTCACGCAGCTGCTGTGAAGAGGGAGCACCAACAGGTTCAACACCCCCAGGCTCAAGTACCCCTAGGCTCAGCACCCCCAGGCTCAGCACCCCCAGGCTCAGCACCCCCAGCCGCAGTACCCCCAGTCTCAGTACCCTCAGTCTCAGCACTCAAAGGCGCAGCACCCCCAGTCGCAGCACCCCCAGGCTCAGCACCCCCAGTCTCAGCACCCGCAGTCGCAGCACCCCCAGGCTCAGCACCCCCAGTCTCAGTACCCCAAGGCTCAGTACCCCGCTCAGGACCAGAGTCAACAGCTACCTCGACAGGCTCGACCGCGTCTACCTGGGAAACACCTGAGGGAGCAGGACCCTGGGGAGGGAGGGGGTCTACCGGAGGGGCACCTGGGGTGAGGAAGAGAGGCGGGGGAGGGAGCGGAGCAGTGCGGGTAGGGGAACAGACGGTAGAAGGGTACCGACTCGTCAAAGGTGACGTCCTGAGAGGGGAAGACACGGCGCGAGTGGTGGGTGGTAAAACTGCCAACCAGGCGCGTCGGGGACAAAGCCAAGGAAGACACAAGGCACAGCACGGGTGGAGAGCTTTGTCCGCAGTGGTATCGCGGACAAAGGCATGAGCACCCCAGACCCGGTGGTTAGCGCGACGCCATCGCCAACCTGCCCCGTCCACAGCAGTGTGGGCGAGGTCTCCGGAGCGGAGACACGGGGCCAGAGGTTGAGCTGATGCGCAGCGTACTGGACTGCAAACGGCCACAGGAAATGGGGGGCAGCCGCATGGATCAAGGAGGTACGAGCGATCTCCATGACCAAGCCAATGCGGCGCTCAGGCAACCCCATTCTGCTGTGGAGAGGCCGGAAGCGTGAAAGTCTGGCGGATGCCATGCTCCGCACAGTAGGCTGCCAAGAGGTCAGAGGAAAACTCACCACCTCGGTCAGAGTGCAGTCGCAGGACGGGAAAGTCCGACTGGAACCGCTCGCGGAGCTGGAGACGAGCAGCGCGGATCCAAGGGATCAAAACATCAGGGACCTCACCCTTGGCGCGCAAGGGGAAGACCGTGGTGTAGCGCGTGTAGTCGTCGACAACCAGCAGGAAGTACCGCTCGTGGCCCTGTCCACGGACGCGGGCTGGGCCCCACACGTCCAGGTGGAGAGTCTGCAGAGGAGCCTCTGTGGGAGGGAACGAGGAGGAGTGAGGAGCGGCGCGCTGCCGCCCCTCGACGCAGGGAAGACAGGGAGGAGCAGGCGAGGGCGGGAGGGGAGGGAGAACCCTGGGAAGACCAGAGACAAGGTACCGGGAGTGCATGCCACGAAGGCGCTGCACTGACGGGTGACCGAGACGGTGGTGCCAGAGAACCGTCTGGTGCGACAGGGAGCGACACGAGCAGGGGGCCGACAGCTGACCTGACGCAGACGCAGACGCAGCTACCTGAGGGGACTCAGTGGTCAGTGTGTACAGGTCCGACCCCGGCTGCCGAGTGAAGGTAGCTAGGTGGCGACCTGTCCTAGCACACGTACAGTGGGTCACACGCTCATAGGCAGGGGTGAACTGGTGAACACCCCCATCCTGAAGAGCAGAGCCCGCCACCAAGTTCGTAGAGAGGGAGGGGAGGTAAAGACCCGACAGGGTGCTGGACGGGAGCAGGACAAGGGAGGACAGTGGAGGAGGTCGCAATGACGGGCCCCCAGAGGGGTCAGCGAGAGAGACAGCAACTGGCCGAGCTAGCTGCTCAAGGGCAGTGCGGTCACGGAAGAAGCAGCGGGAAGCACCCGAGTCGAGTGTGAAGGTGTGCAGTGCCTCAGTAGACGCAGTACCAGCAAGCGCAGACGCACTAGCACCAAGAGCAGCAGCCTCACCAGGACCTAGGGCAGGAGACGCACGCGTACCAAGAGCAGCAGCCTCACCAGGACCTAGGGCAGCAGACGCACTAGCACGTGGAGCAGCTGTCTCACTGGTCCCAATGCCAGGGTCTGGCGGTACACTCAGGTAACAGTCACCCTCAACACTAATAGTCAATGCATACATGGCACCAAGGATAGCATCAAAGTCAAGAGCAAAGATATCAATGTTCTTCCTAAGCAGATCAGCCCAGCGGGGCAGCTCAGAGGCGTCAGGAAACTGCTCGCGCCAGGCGTCGTCGAGACGAAAGAAGCAGCGCTGCGCCGTGTGGAACCTCCCACAGGTCTGGCCAGTGCGGTCACCTGTGCGGATGACGTACGGGCAGGTACCTCCACCCCAGACCCCCCACGCTGAGAGTACCACTCACGGAGTTGCTGGGGCGAGGGAGTCTCGCCGGGACGCTGCTGCTGCTGCCTCTGGCCACCGCCGAACCCCCCACGCTGCACCGCTCCACCCACGTCCGCCACCCGCTCCACCGCCGCCACCACTGCCACCACCGCCCCCTCCACCCCCACCACCGCCACCGCCACCCCCCCTGTGCCGCCACTGACCCCCCACCACCCGCGCCACTCCCACCTCCGCCACCACCCCCGCCCCCCCACCCCCTCCACTGCCGCCGCCCCCTCCTCCACCTCCACCACCCCTGCCCCCCTTGCCCCTGCCGCCCTTGCGTCTCCCACTAGGAGAAGACGCGGCCCCGACCCCCTCAGCTCTGAGGTAGCACGACAGCAGCAGCAGATGCAATGGAGGGGAGGAGGGGGGAGGGGGAGCACCCCTCAAAGAAGGGGGTGCGGGGGTCACCACGAGAGGCACCTACAGCTACAATGCTCTTCTCAGCTGTTAGGAGTTCCTTCTCGAGGAGGTCGACAGTGAGGTCAGTGGGGGGAGAGGCGAGAAACTGGTCCCTGACAGTGCGAAGGGAGTCAGGAGGCGGGTGACAAGGTGGTACAGTGTGAGGTACATCGGGGGGGGGTTCTTGGCGAGGAAATCAGGGGGGAGCGCGGCACGGTAGCGGAGGTCACTGGTACGGAGGTGGGTGATGAGGTCAGCTACTGTGGCAAACGCGGACAGGTCGGGGAAGAGATAGGGCAGTGAGAGACGGCCTATAGCAGCAGTGGCAGGGGAGGAGTAGCGTGCGACTACTGCGTCGTACAGTTCCTTAGCGGTCTTATGCTGGCCGAAGTGCTCGCGCTCATCTAACGGCAGGTGGCTGCGAACGGCTAGGCGAGCGTGAGCATCACGGGTCTGCCACTGGGAGCGAGCAGTGCTGTCAGCAGTAGTGGGAGGTGCGGGGGGCAGCGCCAGACGTGTGATCATAGAGGGAAACATCATCCTTGGCAGTGATCTGAAGGAACAGGTGGAGGTCATCTAACCACACCTCAAACTTATCGGGCGGCCCTCAGCGTCAAAGGTGAGAACAGAGGGAGTGGCCATAGTGCAGTAGTAGCAGCAGCAGGAACAGTAGCAGTAATACAGTAGGAACAGGAACAGGAGTTAATGCAGGTGGGGCACAGTAAAGGTGGCGCGGCTCGGCCAGGGCGGCGCGGCTCGGTTCGGGCGGCGCGGCTCGGTTCGGGCGGCGCGGCTCGGTTCGGGCGGCGCGGCTCGGCTCGGGCTGGGCTACGCAGCAGTGCGCAACGGGGGGGGCCGTGCGCGTGGGCGGCTGTAGTAGGGGAGGGGCCGTGGTTGTGCGCGGGGCCTGACTAGCGCGGCGGGCGACGACCGAAAGGGGGGGCGTCGCGGCGGCCAACGGGAGGGGCTGCGCCGTCCTGGGCGGCGGTCGACGGGCGGCTAGGGTCGCGCGTCGGCCTAGGGCCCTAGGGGCGAGCGGGGCCTACGGGCGACGGCCTGCTGGGGCTCGCGAGAAAAGAAAAGAAAAAAAAATCGGGCCGCCCTAGGCGGCGGATTTCCTACACGCGCACGAAACCGGCGGGGCCGCGCTCGGGCTGCTAGCGGCTGCACACGGGCAGTGTGAGAGGAGGGCGCACGAGGGCGCACTAGGGGAGAAGGCGCACGAGGGCGCTAAAAAAAAGGGGCGCACGAGGGCACCTCTAGCGGAACGGTGGGCCCATAGGTCTAGAACCTAAGCTCTTAATACCATGTCAGAAACAAGAAGTGATTGAACTATGAAAGATTGGAGTACAAGTATGAACCCTAGAGTTTGTGTACCAGGGCCCTCGTTATCAGACCAATTTGGTCTGATGGTCTGCGTTTCAGACTTCATTTTCTTATTTCAGATGATCTGTAAGACTGTGATTTTATTTTCAGATTATCAGTAAGACAAATGATTTTACTTGAGATAAATTTTCAGATCGCATACTATTCTTCATCTGAGAATCCAGATAACGAGTACGATTCCGTCTGAAACCGACATTTGTGCCCACTTGTCCATAGGGCCACTAGTTAGGGTATCTGCCAGCATCTATACATGCATGCGTAATGAATGCTTCTGTCCCGTAGCATCCGCGCTGGAGGAAACAGCACCGCTGGCAGCAGTTAACCATGTCAGATGCTGCCAGCACTTTGTCGCTGCGTGGGTGTCGGCGCCGATGCCAGCTACACCCAGGCACCGGCACTATCCTTTTGTGCGATGGGGTGACCTGTATGCATCGCGGATGCACGTAACTGTGGTTCCCCGCCCACACTCGCACCGCGTATCACTCTGCCGAGCTACGGGACGAGGGTTTGAGGGACCAGGCTGGGGGCACACCGTCCATCTTCTACATCCTTTCTTCCGCTGCACTTGACTGGCCCCGCAGTGCAGTTTTCCACTTTCGCCATACCCCTGATGGCCATTCCAGAGGAGTTACACCCCCCTAGAGTCTCAGCGCTAGATTTTCTCACACGGGGCAAGTCGATCCCCGTCGTTGCACCCCACGTTGCCTCGTGCTCAACCCAAGTTATACCCCAACCAACGCATCGCCAGACACTGTGGCCGAAGAAAAGGCGGACGATGGCATGCCCAAGGCTACCACGCCCACGTCGACAAGCTCGCCTACATCCGGCCGTGAATCCATCCGCCCTGTTGTTTCTGTTATAACAACCACCGATCTTCGGGCTAACCCTGTGCTGCCTGACAGGGCTTCACTGAAAGCTAAATACAAGCAGAGGATGCTTAACTTTGCCCGTCCCGCAGGTCCTACCTTGCCCGCGCCATCGGAGACGGTCCCGCCCACGACTCGTCAATCCGCCGATGACGATTCGGAAGAAGAGGACAAGGGCAAAACCAAGGGACGTCGGCCGCTCTCTGTGGAAGAGCTGCAGCTCAAGTGTAAGGAGCAGTGGCTTCGCTATTTCCCGTGGCTCTTCATCAGTGAGACGAAGGACGGGCGACCGTGCATGCGCTGCAGCGTCTGTATGGTGTTCGGGGACCCGCACTACAAGTACGGCCGCTACGGTGAAGGCGGCCTCGACATTCAGAAGCAGACGATGCGCAAGCATCATTTCAGCGTGAAGCACGAGGCCGCGGTGCTGCAGAAGGAACAACGTGATGGCCTTAAGAAAGGCCAGAAGTCCATGACAACCTTCGACAAGGGTGACGACGACGCCAGGCGAATTGCTCGATTAATGGCAATCGCTCTCTTCATCTGCAAATCTGACGCCCCTATTGTGCTTTTCGTTGCTCTTGTTCAATTCATGGCTGAGCAGGGCACGCCGGACATGCCCGTGAAGGAAAACGGCACGTACTACAGCGAGTGAGTAAAATTTCTGTATCCCGCTTATGTCTGTGTGTCTGCTCCACCATGCTCACGCCCCTATTGTTTTTGTGTTACAGGTACGGTTTTGCACAGCTAGTGGCGACGATGGTGTCATACCTGCGGTCCCGTCAGCTGCAGTACATCCGAGCCAGCCCCTTTCTCGGGATCCAGCTGGATGAGAGCACGGACCATAGGCGCGGGAAGCATATGATAGTATACATGACCTTCGTGCGCGACAACCTTCCAGTCACGGAGTTCTACACCCTGCTCTCAGTGGAGCAGTGTGACGCCGCCTCGCTGCTAACTGGCCTGCTAACGCATTTTGAGACGGCGGGCATCGATCTGCAGCGCATTAGCGGTATGAGCACAGACGGCGCTTCTGTGATGACTGGCCAGCACAACGGGTGGTCGCGCGCGGCTGCGCACGAAGATTCCTCATCTCGTTTCGTGCCACTGTGTTGCTCACAGGCGAGTTATACCAAGTTGTATGTTGATTTGCCTATCTTGCGTGTACTAAAATGTTTCGGTTGATTCATGCAGGGAGGCGCTCGCAGCAAAAGATGCAGCAACCGCGTTCCCTGACCTCCAGATTGTGGACAAGGCGGTCCGGTCTGTGGTCGACATTCTCGGGCGCCTTGTGGTCCATACGCGTTTCAAGGAGCTGCAAGAGGTCATTTGCGAGACACATTGGGAGATGCAGGGCATCAAGGACGTGAGGTGGCTTTCCCGAGGCAATGCGATCCAGCGACTCGTCGCGGTGTTTCCTGCGGTTGTGATCGTCTTGCAGGAATTCGACAAAAAGATGTACGCGACAGTGACTAGTTTCAAATTCCATTTCTTACTCTACTTGCTTGCCGATGTGTTGAAGGAGCTGAACCTGCTCAACTTGAAGTTCCAGCAACGACAGGTACGCGTTAATGTTTACGCTTGCAACCGCCTTCGTAAACCATAGTCACAATCTAACCATTTCTGCTTCATGCTTTTGCAGATTGACGCCCACCCATGTGCTGCAGACGGTACACAACACAACACTCCTGCTGCGGACTCGTTACCTCGACAGCAACGACGAGACGTTCGGCAAAGCGGCGCTGCGCTGGGTCCATTCTTGGCGAAACATGCCTCGGGGAAGTGTCGGGAGGTCAAGGTTGATGGCCTAGATTCCACCGGAGTGCCAACAACTCACCGCTACCTGCTGCACGAAGAGGCTATCGTGGGGCAGCAGAGCAAAGGCGACTCAACTCCTGTTTGAAGCTCGGGCGGGGACTTCGTTGTTGAGCTGATTAAGCAGCTCGACTACCGACTGCATGATCTCGCGTCGCTCAATGGCGCGAAGCTCTTCAAGAAGTCCCAATACCCCAAGTCACAGGCTAAGCGCGAGCGACGGTTGGCGCAGTGGTTGCAGTCGCTGCGCGACATGTACAAGAAGCATCCCGAGGATCCGGACACTCTGCCAGGTGTGTTAGGCGTATTGTCGTGAGATCTCGGGCTTAATCGTTTTGAAGCCGCGTCGCGTTACATTTGTATTCATGCGGCCGCATCTTTGTCTTCCTCTATTCACCCGCCCATTCGTACAGGTGTGGACTGGGCCAAAGCACAGAGGGAGCTCAACACCTTCGCGACAATCATGAGCACCCACCAGGAGGATGTCGGCTTCGCGGAGGGCCTGAAGCACATGCTCTCCTCACCAGATTGGACAACGAGCTACCCCAACATTGTCCGCCTGTGGATCGCTGTAGCCGTGCTCCCGCTGAGCACTGTGGAGTGCGAGCGCGGGTTCTCGCGGCACAAAACGTGATCAAGAGCTGGCTGAGGGGGAACCTGTGCGACGCCAAGCTTGGTGAGCTCATGACCGTGTCTCTTCTGAGCTACAACATGGAGTGGCCCGAGTT